GAATTCAAGTAAGAAATCAGAGATTCTCTTCGATTTATAATAAAAATTAAGGGTAAGAAATTATAGATTCTCCTTGATTCATGGTGAGAAACTAGAGATTTTATTTGATTTAGAGGAAGAATTCATGGAAAGAATTATAGATTCTTCTTTATTCATGGTTAGAATTCATGGTACGAAACCATAGATTCTCCTCGATTTATGGTAAGAAAAGAAACTATAGATTCTCTCGATTCATGGTAACAAACGAACCATGAAATTATAGTTTTTTTTATTTATGGTAACAAACACAGGAAATGAAATTATAGATTCTCTTTATTCATGGTAATAACAAATCAGGAAATTATAGATTCTCTCTGTTTATAGTAACAAACAAATCAGAAAATCATACATTCTCTATGATTCAAAGGTAACAAACAAACCAGTCATACATTTTCTTTGATACATGGTAACAACCAACTAGGAAATCATATATTCTTCTAGATAACAAACAAACTAAATTAGATCAAATATTGATTCATGTCAACAAACAAACTAGGAAATCATAGATTCTCTTCAATTCAGGGTAATAAATTGAATTGAGACTAGGTCTTATCACACAAGCCAATCATAGATTCTCTTCAATTCAGGGTAATAAATTGAATTGAGACTAGGTCTTATCACACAAGCCAATGAAGCAATGAGTGCGAAACTCATTGGTGGCCGAACATGGATTTGGACTTGAACCCAAGTTTTTTTTTATCCTTTCTTGGTGGATCGTTTCTTGTTTCGTTTTGTTTCATTCATAGCATTAGCCCACACTCCCTGTCGGGAGTGTTGGGTCATTGTCTACATTGTCTTTGAAGAAGTAAGAATTTCGTCTGTACTAACGGATGATAGAAGTCTCACATCGGCTAATTATGGGTTTATAAACAAATAATACTCTCTTCATTGGTATGAGGCATTTTGGAGAAGCCCAAAGCAACACCATGAGAACTTATACTTAAAGTGGACAATCTCATACCATTGTGAAGAGTCATGATTCCTAACATGGTATCAGAGTCATGTCCTAAATTTAGTCGTGTCACTAATTGGTAAATCCTCAAATGTCGAACAAAGGACTCCAAAAGAAAAGGAGTCGAGTCTCCTCGAAGGCAGTAAAAAATGACTAAGACTCCAAATGAGTCTAGCCTCGATTAAGGGGAGGCGTACTTTATTCGAGTAGAGGTGTTGGATGATGAAAGTCTCACATCGGCTAATTTAGGGAATGATCACGAGTTTATAAACAAATAATACTCTCTCCATTGGTATGAAACTTTTTGAGGAAACCCAAAATAAAGCCATGAGAGCTTATGCTCAAAGTGGACAATATCATATCATTGTGGAAAGTCGTGATTCCTAACATCTACAACGTAAGTTTTAGAGTTAGTCTCTATGATATGCTAAAAAGTACTTACTATAAAGATTATTTACGAGAACTTTAGCCGACTATAAAAACTATTTATGTAGTTTTATCAAACCATAAACACAAAATTCAAACTTCAACGCCTTCAACTTTTTTAAGTCATGAATTTCAATATATTTTTATAAAAGTTCACCTTTGGGACAACGTTTTCAAGACGACAAATCAAAACATGTTCGCATTCATACATAACACAGTGAGTAAGAATCATGACTCGGATCTATCAACTTCTATAGACCCATAGCTTGTGTACACACTCCCCTCAGCCTATTTCTCAGTCTCTAAGATTTGTGCCAACTCTTTCTATCATAGTGGATTTTGACGAAGGTTTCCATGAGAGAAAATTTTGAGTTCAGTAAAATTGCTAGAAAGGTATCAGCAATGGCTCTGTTCTTCCAGATTTGATATATGAATAAGACAACAAGAATCAAGTGCCATTAACGCCAAAACCCATAATCCATAAAAAGACGTTCAATCAAACAGGATTCAAAAGAGTTCAAAAACTTGAATTTACATGATCTGAGACGCTGAAACCACGTAAACAAGAGCCAGAATTGCATATGTTACAACACAAATAGACATCAACATTATATATAAACATTAGATTATGCAACATGTATGGTCTCAACATTTGCGTCTATCATTTTCCTTACCTCTTCTGGATTTGCACCCACGAGCTTCCCAATTTGAGTACCATTCTTCATCAGCAAGAATGTTGGCATTGCCTTTATCTCCATTTTAGCAGCCACTTCCTATCATGAAAACAAGAAAATCACAAAGAAGTTATTTTGTTATCTCTCTCAGGATGTGAATCAGGGGACGATAAAGAACGGTTCCATCTGATATTTTCCATTTATGAGGCATCGGTTTCAACTAGCGAGACGATACAACACAGTGAAACCGTATGAGGCATCTGTTCCATGGCCTGGTTTTGACAAGAGCTTTGGGTTTCCGAAGCATTTAGGAACAAGTTAGCTTGGAGAAGCGGTTGGGAAGGGGCTTTTTTGGCCACACATGTAGAAGGACAGTCAAGAAAGGGGAACATGAGGGATAATAGCAAGTCACTGTGAAAGTCATCCCTAAAGGTAACAGCCCAAGCCAACCGCTGACACATATTGTCCCTCTTTGGACTTTCTCTTTCAGACTTAAGGTTTTAAAACACGTCTACTAGGGAGAGGTTTCCACACTCTTATAAAGAATTCTTCGTTCTCCTTCCCAACCGATGTGGGATCTCACAATCCACCCCCCTTCTCGTCCTCACTGGCACTCGTTCTCCTCTTCAATCGATGTCGTTCCCCTCCTCAATCGAGGTGGAATCTCATAATCCACCCTCATTCAAGGCCCAACATCCTTACCAGCACACCGTCTGGTGTCCACCCCCTTCAGGGCTCAGCATCCTCACTGGCACACCGCCTGGTGTCTACCCACCTTAGAGGCTCAGCGTCCTCGCTAGCACACCTCCCAGTGTCCAGCCCCCTCAAGGTATTGGTATTAAAACGCATCTATTAGGGAGAGTTTCCACCCCTTATAAAGAATGTTTCGTTCTCCTCCCAACCGATGTGGGATATCACATAACATGTGGTATCTTTCCCAAGTTTGGATCGAATTTTTCTCCGACTTTGCACAAATATACTGCCCTTTTATGAGTTCATGATTGTTTGATAAAGGATGAATCACTGATCTGATATTTGCCATTTATGAGTGCTTTTATGGCTTTGATGAAGAAGAAAGAAGCTGAATGTGGGTTATGAGCTAGTTGGAAGTTTTCAAAGATAATGAACTTCCAACCTCAATCTACACCAAATGTGTTTCTGATTACTCATTTTGAAACCATAATCATTTGAATTATAGAACCAAAACAACGAACTTATGACACATTGACTTGAAGAAACTTGATGGAATGAAGAAGTCTGATATAAGTTTTTAGATAGAAGCAATGACATAATCTGTTCTTCAGCAAAATGTACCATACTCTTCAAAAACTGCTACCACATTTATCATGATTTTGGACATTGGAATTAGACTTATTACCTTAACCTCATCAACATCAACAGTGAGAAACAGAGCATCTGGGTAATTAAAAGCCAGTTCTTCAAAGAATGGATTCATAGCAACAGAAGGCATGCACCAAGAAGCAGTGAAGTGCACAACAATCTACAAAAACCACAGAGATAAACGAAAACCAAGAACTCACAAACCAATCTCCCATCAAAATAGATCAAATCTCAACATTAAGAAACCATTCAAAAATCGAGACAAAGGAAATGAAGTTGAAGAAGGGAACATACAAGAGAGTCTTGCTGAGCAGCTTTAGTCACAAAGGAATTCCACGATTCCATGGATTCGATCTTCACAACCCTAATCTGTCGCCACTGCTCTTGCCCCTCCATTTTTTCCTCTCTCAGAAACTCAAAATCCTTCCGATTCCTTCAGCGATTGTTAATGGGAATTTCGCTTTAATCCCAATATCTGCCAATTTCGGCTCGGAATCGGACCCCACTTCTTAATTTCCTCTTATCCAACAGCTTGATCTGATTTGATTCTCACATGCTATGCTTAAGAGATATCTTCAACAACTTTCGGCCGTATTTCGTTTCGGAAGTTCGTCTTATTCTAGAGGGTTTGGAATTATTCTCTCCGCTTCATCCATTATTGTATGCAAATCAGCTCGTGTCGCTTCCTAAATTAAAATGATTGATTTTTATTTCCTTTTTCTTTTCTTTTGAACATAATGTTTTTTCGAAATAAATTTACAAAATGAAATTAGTTAAAATTTGTGGCTTTTTTTTTTTCTATCCCATAGAAATTTAGTTAAATATATCTGTCTAATATGTTGATTTAAAAAATCATTTTACGAGATAATTTCTTTCAAATTATGGTTCATTAGCAAATTCAACGTGTGGGATTATGAGATTTAAACCTAATTCAATGTGTGGGATTGAGAGATTTAAACCTCTAATCTTTTAGTTCGACAATATAAATTTTAACGTGGGATAGCATTGGTTCTTTTGGTAAATCGATGCATGAGTAACATAAAAGAGATCTTAACAAGTATGACCACCATCTCTAGAAGGATTGAAGGTCATCGACTCAATATCTTTTATCTTGCCACTGAACATTACAACATGTCTCCTAAAAGCTCAACAAAGGGCACCTCCCTACACACTCAACCTAACCTCTGTCAAAAAAATAATCGCAGAAATCCAAACATTTAAGAATACATCCATGAGGTAGATCAGCCGTGACTCCCTCAATACGAAAATAATTATGCATCATTCTCATGCCGGTGGCTACTTATATCTTTAAAGGCTCAAACCTGGGGCAAAAGTCCGGTCGGATTTGGTCTTAAAAATATCTATAAATTTTTTTAAAAAATTCAATAATACCCTGAAACTAAAAAAACAAAACCCTAAAAAATAACGTTATCTTTCTTAAAAAATTAAAAAAATTATCTTGTTAGTATTATTGCAAAAATCTTCAAAAAGACAAACATTTCAGATCAAAAAACTGCACTTACCAAATACTGCAGGAACTGTCTGATGAGATAAACAGTGAGAGAATGTTGAGAGAAAAACAAGGAATGGATTAGAAATATGAGAGATATTTATCTTTAGGTTCATAAGATCATAAACTGTTGTACAGGGAAAAAGAAGAAAAGAAAAATCATGTTAAAATCGCACAGCCTGATTCTAACCCTGATATGAATACAAATTAGTAGTTGATCCCAACACCAAACATCTACACAACACTCAGTAATAGTACAGCCAACCCCTGTGACAAATAAGATTTATGTATGCTAATGCAAGAGTAACAACTAACCCATTTTTTTAGCCATAACTCAACCGGGAATCTACCGGTCGCATGGTTGTTTGCCGGCGAGGGATTCCGATTTCACACGCATTCACTCTGGCCGCAAACCGAAGGGAGCAAAGCGACTCATTCACAGATGATGGATCCGGGGAGATATTCACAAACATCAATGTTTTTGAGTCTCCGCCTAGGCATGGCTGTACATGAAGATTGCAGCAATTCAATTTGTTAGTTGCATCCTTCTGGAGGTATTTTTGAGTCTCCCCCTAATTCTCTAACTTAACTAATATACTCGGGTCGAGATATAGGTCGTGTTTGGAATGATTTTTTAAGTGCGGGTTTTTAAGTAATTGAAAAGTTATTCCAGAGAGGTCCATGGAAGCATAGAAATCAAGTGTTTAAGCATAGAAAAAAGATCAAGGGATTTAGAGAAATCACGTGCCTGAAGAAGATATGTAAGCTTGGAGTTCCTAAATGGAACATGGTCTTCCTTCTTAGCCAAGGCAAATATAACATCGCTCAAACACGACAAACTTTTGTTTATAGCCTGATGCTCACAAAAAATGGAAGTAGTAAGCATAATGTTCTTAAGGAAGTAGAACGCATGAGAATTGCAAGAATGTTAAAGAATGAGAACCTGTGTTTCCTTCAACCGATCCCCAGTTGCCCCACTTCTTGAAAGCCGTTCACTCCCAGCAAGGTCAATAAGATTTAGCACCCCCTGAACTTGTTGTTCAGTGCTCTGAGGAAGTGAAAGAAAAACTTCAGCCGGTATAAACTACAAAAACTAGATGAAATTTGATAAATAACTATATGAATGCACGCGAATTATAAGGAAACCTGCCTCATTTACGCCTGATATACGAAGTGTAAATACAAAATGACTTCTTGATGATTGCTCGTTCATTTGAGTCCTGCCTACGGACCTGAGAATCAAAAGCAATTGAAATTCAATTTTGTGGTCCACCCTGGTCTACTTCGAATATAAACTACAAGGTGAAAGAAATTCAGCGTTCAAATTGTCTCAAAGTAATGCACCTGCTGTGGCCAGCCTGCTGTAGGAGTGAAGAGATCTCTCTAATACTGCAGACATCAATGATGGTGAGATCTGAAACGTGTGTGTTCCCATTTGCATCATGTTTAATGGTGTACTGTTTACCAAGAACCCCGTTTTCTGTCCTTGTTATGTCAAAACTACTTGACCGATGTGTAGACAGTAAATCACGGATGGTTTCGTTGTATATTTCTAACATGGAAACCTACAATAATCATTAGAAGGGATTACAAAGGTTCTAGACTTAAAAGTATACTTTTGCAGATGAAAATTAGATAGTTTGTTTACCTGCATTTTGTATTTCCAACCCTGAGACTGAAGGGACTGACTAGCTTGAAATATCTGTTCAAGAGAACGCGGTATCATCCCTTTCTGCTCTGGAGCTTCGGGCCTTCCCATCATTGTATAAGTTTTACCGGATCCTGTCTGACCATAAGCAAATATGCAAACCTGACAAAAGATTAGGCCTGTAAGTTTTATTTTCAACATTCCCAAGGAAAAGTAAATGTTGAATCTCAATCAACTTGTTGATATTGTAATGAACTTAACAAGCTTTTGCGTCTTAGAAAATGATATAGGAGCACTAAAACCAAACAAGTGAGAAATAACCCTCACATCATTATAGGCTCTATACTCGCAAAGGATTGCAAAAAACGAGAGTAAAGCAACGTTACCTTATAGCCATCAAGTGCACTCTGCACCAGCTGGGATATTTCTACAAAAACATCCTGTTGAGAAGTCTCATGATTAAACACCTTATCGAATGTGAAGGGATATTTCTGTCCTGTTAACGACATGATCGCATTGAATAAGTGATTAGTGAATTTGGGTCAAAGGCAAATGCATCATGCGTTGATTCGAAATATACAAGTTTAGATTTCTTCATACCAGTTTGTGACAAATCGATACCCCGGCCAAGAGCTTCTGTTGATGTTGGATAGGAGACAACCGTGGTTTCTGCTCCTACACCATCATCTGGTAGCATGGGGCGCACTCGGCAGAATACTCGAATATTCCCTTTTAATTCCTGCCCATTGAGACAATAAATTAAATTTAAAAACCAACCACCAATGACTTGAAGCCAACAGAATTGAGCACATGAACATTACCAGTATTGTGTTGTGAAGTTTTTTCCTTAACTTCTCTCCCTCTGTAATTTGCAGCTCTGCATCTGCCAGGCGGCTTTGCAGGTCGCTGGTATACCTTTTCTGTTCTTCATATTCTGACCTCGTTTGGAAAGCAGATAAATCTGCCACCTATGAGGAAGAAAAGATGTTGAGGAATTAGAAGAAAACATTTCATACAGATAGGAAAGATCCGTTCCACTAAAACAATATAACAAGCCATTCATTAATAAATATTACTTACTTTTAATTTTTCATTTGCAGCTGTTAGTTGGTGGTCAAGCACGCGTATTTGCTCCCTCTGTGAAGAGCATGTCTCCTGAAAGGGAAAAAAAAGTTGCTGTTTAAAAAAAAAATTGAGATGCTAGGAGCTTCAATGAGTAAACATAGGTATGGCATTCACCTCTAAGGCATTAGTTTTGACTATCAGGCTATCCAACTCGATACATGATTTGCCGCTGAACTCTCTATGTTTCTCCACTTCAGCGTTCAAGGCATGCACCTGACTTGTTAGCCGTTCACGATCATTTCTCACTTGTTGTAGCTCTTCCCGAAGACACTTGATGTCATTCGTCAATGTATCTTTTTGTTTCACTGCCTCCTCTAATGATGCCTATATGAGATAATCAAAAACATGATTCTATGCCACTTATTTTCTTGACAAAGTGCAAATTGTAGCAGCAAAATACAAAATTAGATTGCTTAAAGAACTGCACACAAGTATGAACTTCTTCACTAGTATATATAGGTTTGTGCAATTCAAAGATTATGAAATCTTACTTTCAAAGATTTTAATTGGTCCTGCAGCGTCTTGTTGTGACCCCTGAAAGTGCTAAGATTCTCAACAACTGTCATTTTCTCCATTCCTACTCTTTTGAGTGACTCACTGGTTGAATCAAGGTCAGCTTGGAGTTTACTATTATACTGTTGAAGACTAATATTATACTCTTGTGCCCTCTTGTACAAATCTTCATTAGAGGCAAGCTGTATAATTTAAAGAATTGGGTTAGTATAAATCAAACTTCAACAAAAAACCAATAAAGAAATATCCATTCTTGAAGAACATGCTAATGAAATAAGCTATGTTACCCTCTTTTCAGCGGCTAATTTCTCTTGGAGAGCTTTCTCTAGGTTGCTTGAAAGAGAAGCTTGCAAATTCTCTACTGCAAGTCGGGCATCTTTCTCTCTTTTATGACACTCAATTGCATCCTGAATGTAGCACCATAACAGGGGGAAGAAAACGGGGAATATATAAGGACCTATCGGCACACAAGAAACCAATGAGCATGAACATCTATAAACCTACCAACTTATCAGATTCTTCTTTGGAAAATTTGTCTTCCAATGATGAAACATTACTCCTTAGCTCAGAAACAGTAGAAGATAATTCATCCTCTCTTTCTTTCATTTCCAATTCTGTTAAAACACAGGTGGAACAACAAAATGACATAGGATTCCTCTTTAAAACCTAATGAAATATATATCAAATTATTGGCAGCAGTAAGATCCCATGGAAATCAACACTGAAATTACCTATAGCAGAGCACTTTTTCTCAGCAGATTCCAGAGAAGTTCGAAGTCTTTCCTCCTCAAGAAGATGGCTTTCCTCGACTTGTTGGAACCATTTGATGCAAAGCTTAAGCCTCTTATTATGATCAGTCAGTTGATCAATTTTTCCCTAAAAAATGGTTGTCATGTCAGGAAAAGTCAAATTACAGCATAAACAAAACCGCTTTGGACAAGAACATGCAAGAACTTTAATTATTGAAAAGAACTTCTCGTATATAATTTCATTCATCCAACCTTCGTGTCAAATTTCTTCCCTTTAAACTTCTCGCTTAACAACGCATCAACCTCTTCTTTTGTGAACTCCACGGTGCCACATTCAGAATCCTCGGTGCTACACGCATCATTAGCAGAAACCCCCTGCCTATTATTAACATCTACAAACGGCTGTCTTCCGCGGGCACCTGCTGTAGGCCCTAACATTCTTCCAGCTGCAATCTTCCTCCGTTTGTCGAAGGGAACATCCTCTGGAATATCCTTCTTCTATACGATTGTTTCAAAAAACAGTCATGACTTGAGCAATATAGTATAAATTAGATTTGTAGGGCTCCAAATCTCAACCATTTTGAACTCCACACAGAAAAATAGCTCTAAACCAAAACACCATATCAAGTCAAAAAATCAGGATGTTTCCATTAAAACCACTGATTTCAACTAGTTCTTAGCTTTTAGTTCAGTTATATAAAAATAAACAAATCAAAAAGGTTATCAAGAAACCCTCGATTATAACAAACTGATGAAGAAATAAAGTTGTATTTGTTCATTCTCTTATCATCCTAACAACCATAACAAGATCAAAGAGTAGACTCGGAACTTACAGCTGGACTACGAGGGGCCCTATTCTGGTTTCGAGATGCCATATTTCTTCAAATCCAGAAAGAATCGAACTCCAAATAAGTCCTGGATGGTTGTTCCCAGATGGAATCCGGCGGCGACGGAAGATATCGATTGACGCCGGAAATTCCACTGACGAACAGTTGAGAAGCTCTGGGAGTTAGAGGATAAAGAGAAATGGAACGTTGAGATCTGGTTCCGGTCTCTCTCGGGTCGAAGAGGAGAAAAAGGGCATACAAGATTTTGAATTTTGAATTGGCGGAATGTTAAGCCAACACGCGCTCCTCAAGAGAGACGTTACTTATCTGGGCCGGGCTCTTCAATTTTTGGGCCGTATTGCTTTTCCAGGCCCAACAAATACAATAATTTAACTTACCCCTATAAAATATTATAAGGGCTAAATTGTAAATTGATACCAATTTTTAATAGCGACCAAATTATTTTTATACTATTATTTACACATTTAAATTTTTGTTCAATTTTTAAAGAATAAAATTTAATTTATGACAATTCACATTCTCATATTTCCAAATGTGGGAATAAAATTATAATTTTATAAATATAACAATTTTCTAAAATTTGCTGAGTGTCTATTTAAATATTTTTGCTTAATTTAGTGAAACCCTGATAAATATTTATTGTTAATAGCATTTATAGACCATTTTTATATTTATCTGAAATATATGTCTATTACTAATAAAGAAATAAATGTATATTATATGAATAAGAATAAAAAAAAACGAATTGATACATATATTTTATATCTTTTTTAAAAAAAAAAATTATTAATTTTAAAGAATTTTTAAGGATAATTTTAAAAAGGTAAATATTCTAATAAATTTAATAATATTTTGTAAAGAAATATATAATATAACATTTCATATAGTTTCTAAAAATTCAAATTTTAATATTATAATAAAGTTTTTAACATTTACATGAGACGAGCCAAGATGAGAAATATAATCTCCAATTATCGAATTAAATCAACATCTCTAATTGAAACTAATTCTTTAAAATTAGTATAGAAATTAATATTGTAACCGTCCAAGCTCATTGTTAGCCGATATTATCCGCTTTCGCTTGTTAGGCTTCACGGTTTTAAAACGTGTCTACTAGAGAGAGTTTTTCACACTTTTATAACGAATATTTCGTTCCCTTCACCAATCAATATAAGATCTCACAATATACCATCTCTAGGGCTAGCGTCCTACCAATGTGGGATCTCACAATTCACTCCAAAAGCACGAGAGACAAAAGACAAGTACGAATCCACGTGGCAAAATTCTAGTGGCCATGCTGAAACCTATCTTACTTGTCCAATGAAGAAGAATCAGTGAACACGTGTTATTACACAATTGGTTAAGATCATATCCAATTTATCCAACTAGAAAATTAGCAGATAAGGTGGTGTCCCCAATTACTCTGCGTCACATAAACAAATATACAAATCTGCAACTCTCCACCAATATAATTCTCAACCAAAAAAAGAAGGTAGTTGATCATAAGCTATGGCGTCAATGGCAGGGCTATGTGGTTCCTCTCAAGCTGTGTTGGAAGGTAGCCTTCAAATCAGTGGCTCTACCCGCTTGAGTGTGGCTGGCAGCAGCAGCAGCAGCAGGCTCTCTGTCCCCCGCTCTGGTTTGATGATCAGAGCCCAGCAAGTGCCTATTGAGCCCGAGACCACCCGCAGGTCCGTCCTTGGCTTGGTGGCCGCCGGTCTCGCCTCCGGCTCTTTCGTTCAAGCCGTTCTCGCTGATGCTAAGCCCATCAAGCTCGGTCCCCCGCCCCCTCCCTCTGGTGGACTCCGTAAGTGCTCGACATTAAATTTACCATAACCCATCAACTTAAATAACAATGGTTTGATTCTTGCAGCTGGGACTTTGAACTCGGACCAGCCACGAGACTTGGACCTGCCCTTAAAGGAGCGATTCTTCCTGCAACCACAAAGTCCAGAATTGGCCGTAGCCAGGGCGAAAGAATCAGCCAAGGATATCATCAATGTAAAGGGTTCGATAGACAAGAAGGCATGGCCGTTCGTTCGAGACGACCTTCGTCTCAAGGCAGAGTATCTCCGTTATGATCTCAAGACAATCATCTCTGCCAAGCCTAAGGAAGAGAAGCAAGCCCTTAAGGACCTCACAGGAAAGCTCTTCCAAGACATCAACAATGTGAGTGTTGTTTTACAGCGTTGAATCTTGAATTACTTGTGTTGTTTCTGACGTTTTGTTTTGAACACTTGCAGTTGGACTATGCAGCAAAGATTAAGAGCAGCTCAGAAGCAGAGAAGTATTATGCTCAGACAGTGTCGACCCTCAACGATGTCCTATCCAAGCTCGGTTAGAAGAATAGCGTTTGCTGTTCATGTGATGTAAGATTGTTTTGTGAACATATGCGAATGTTATATCAACTCAATTTGGTTTCAACTCTCAGCTCAATCTCATTTCAAGTTCTTATTAGATTCGTAAGTCTTGGATCATTAGAAGAAACTGACTTGGATCTATGACCAGGTGGATTGAATTGTGTGATTATCTTTAGTGTGTTGAAGTAATCTAGGAATTAGATTTATCGTGACTCATTGTGAGATTCCACATCGTGAAGAGGAAAACAAAATACTTTATAAAGGTGTGAAAATCTCTTCCTAATATATGCGTTTTAAAACTGTGAGGCTGTCGGCGATAAATAACAGGTAAAAGTAGATATTATCTGCTAGGAGTGGACTTAAGATTTTATAAATGGTATTAAATTCAAACACTGGGCGGTGTGCCAGTAAGAACGTTAGGCCCTTAAAAGGATGGATTGCAAGGTAAAAGTAGATATTATCTGCTAGGAGTGGACTTAAGATTTTATAAATGGTATTAAATTCAAACACTGGGCGGTGTGCCAGTAAGAACGTTAGGCCCTTAAAAGGATGGATTGCAAGATTTCACATCGGTTGGAGAGGGGATCAGCACTTCTTACAAGGGTGTAGAAACCTCTCTCTTGATTACACGTTTTTAAAGCCGTGAGGCCGTCAGAGAGAGGAACGAAACCCTCCTTGTAAGGGTGTGAAAACCTCCCCCCAGTAGACGCGTTTTAAAATCGTGAGGTTGATGGCGATATGTAACGGGCCAAAGCGGACAATATCTACTAGTGATGGGTTTGAGCGGTTACATCCATTTCACCTAATGGCCCGAACATTCTCCTTCAACATGGTTTTAAATTGGTTCTAAGAGTGAAGACCAGCTCATAAACTAACACAAATTCTTTTAGTATGTTTTCTTTTTACTCACATGTTTCTTAAAGAAAATTTTTAGAAAGTCACCCAATATAGAATTGCTCCAAACTAAACATACATAATTATGATATCTTTGTAATTGAACCACCGAAAAAAGAGATTCAGTTTTTGGGTATAGATAATAACTATTTGTTCTTTTAAGCATTTGTTAACCGTTAAATCTTCATAATCATTCTTTATTCAGTTATGGTCTCGATTCATTCATTTACTCGTAACCATGGAGCAATTTCATAACGATGCTTAGATTTGAATATGGGTCGGTGCATATTTAGCCATGGAATCTTCAACTAAACAGAAGTCTAAAAAGGAAAAAGAAAAATGGATGTTTCCCAGGTGAACTAAGCTGTGGACTCAAAATTTCAAAAGGAACCAATAAATTTGAAGTTATAATGTCATTACAGGAAATGGGTGTCAATTGGGTTAAACATGTTGTGGAACAGAAGGCTTTTCTTTGGCTTTCCTCTCTTCCTCTCTGTAAGCTGCTGTGGCAGAAACATAGTAAGCGACAGTACAGAGCCCATGAATGAAACACACAATCCCACCGATCAAAAACAGCCCATGACTTGATATCTTACAAGAGTTTTTCCTCTTGGAATTGTCCACCGTCCCCGCCACCAACATTGAGAACCCAATAGCCAAAGTAATCCTAATTTTCCACCCAAAAACACAAACACCTCCATCAATTTCAAATCATTCAAGATTGCCTAAACCGAGTGAATTTCCAAATGCTTGTTGAGGATGGTTGAGAGGAAGTCCCACCGTTCGCTAATTTAAGTAATGATTATGGATTTATAAGTAAAGGGAGGCCTAAAGCAAAGCTACGAGAGTTTATGCTCAAAGTGAATAATATCATACCATTGTGGAGAGTCATTATTTCTAACATGGTATCAGAGTCACGCCTTCATTTAGCCATGTCAATAGAATCCCTCTAGTGTCGAATAAAGAAATTGCTAGCCTCAAAGGTGTAGTCCAAAGTGACTCATGTGTCGAACAAAGAGTGCACTTTGTTTGAGGACTCCAGGAAAAAGAGTCGAGTCTCGATTCAGGGGAGACTGTATAGTCAAAAGTGACTCATGTGTCGATAAATGGTGCATTTTGTTCGAGGGCTCCAAAAAATGGAGTCGAGAGGTTGTTCGAGGGCTACATAGACCTCAGGGGAGGCTCTATGGTGTACTTTGTTCGAGGGGAGGATTGTTGAGGATTGTTGGGAGAGGCCTTTTGGGAAAGCCCAAAGCAAAACCATGAGAGTTTATGCTCAAAGTGAACAATATCATACCATTGTGGAGAGTCGTTATTCTTAGCATTCAATTGGTGGAACAATGTTTAAAAAACAAACTATTTTTCACTAAACTTGAAATGATAATGCTCAAAACGCTAGGAGAGGATAGATTTAGTGTAACGGAGACTTACCATGAGAGAATCATGAAGAGCAATCCCAATCGCCTGTTAGCATTTGATTGCTGGAAATGTTGCATATTCCTAATCCAAATGCACCCACCAAGCACTTTAGCAATGGCATGAGCGAGGCCAAGCAGAATAGTTGCAGCCAACCCCTGAGAAAAAGCATCATCTCTCGGCTTTCTGCTGCATTCATACGCCCATAAGCTCTCCGATTGTAATTTCACCTGATTGAGGAAATACGTCGAACACTTAACGTGCAAACTTAAAAAAATGTCTTCAGCGAGCTATACATAACGATTTCTTTTCACTTTACTTCAGCATTACCTGATTCTGAGCCTTTTCAGCTCGAATGGCAAGCAATCCAGCAACAGCGTCCATTACCATCACCAAAATGCAGACCAGAAAGCCATAATTTCGCGCCATATCTACAGCGAAATTCAGAGTTCTTCTCAAGATTTGTGATCGGGAATAAGGGTTAAGGAGGTCTGAATTTGAGAAAGGAAGATGGAATAAAGGAAACCCATGAGTGCACTATTACATGTATGGAAGGAATCATCTATGGAGACAAAATTTACAGGAAAGCTTCTTTCCTTTCTGTAGTTTTCCCTCTTCTTTTTGGTGCAGATGCCTTCCATGGGAGTCAAGGAATGAACAGGATCCCAAGAAATTTTCTAACGCTTCCAGATTCCTTAGTCCTATCATCACAGCTCTGGCAAGAAATCAGCGAACAAATGAATTTCTCGGTTTAAATAAGCAAAGAAAATAATGGAAATTTAAGCAGAGTTAATTAAATTTTCAACTTTTAATTATAATCCATGGTTAGCTTTGACTAGTTACGTAGAGTTGTCAACCTCATAGTTTTAAAACGTATCTACTAGGGAGGGTTTCTACATCTTTATAAAAAAATGTTTCGTTTCTCTCTCCAACTGATGTGGAAACTCACAATTGTTCTTCTCGGTCGATCATTAGATGTTGACTATAGATTCGGGAAGATCATGAGTGGTATATGAGCGAGAGACACTATTTCTATTGGTAACCTTTAAGGGAAACCAAAAGCAAAACCACAAAAATTTATGCTCAAAGTAAGCAATATCATACCAATGTGAGAATCCTTTAGCTTAGTCATGTCAATAGAATCCTCTTAGTCATGTCAATAGAATCCTCAAGTGTCAAACAAACAAGTTATGAGTCTCGAAAATATAGTCATAGTAACCATATGGTGTACTTTGTTCGAAGGGAAGATTGTTGAGAATTGTTAGAGTCTCACGTTAGCTAATTAAGGAGAAGATCATGGGTCGTATATAAGTGAGAGATACTATCTTCATTGGTACGGGTCGTTATTCTTATCGCGTTTTACGATTGTACACCAACTTGATATTGCGTTAGTTTTTCATTCCCTTGATTTCACCTTCTTATTTACTTGATCGATTCTCTATTTTGGCTAACTTCAGCTGATTTTGATTTCTATATTAGTTGCGAAACTTGTTTAATGACTCCATTGATTTTCCCAATCCTTGATTGGTGATGATTGATTACTTCAGGTATTTAAGAGAATATAGAGAAGAGAGAAGTACATTTTCATAGCACTAAATATAGCTTACACCATATATAATCTAACAGATATATCTCTATCTATCTTTACCAAATATCTTCAAAATGTATATCTAATTAAGCAGATTAAGCATCAGACTCTATATCCTAACAATCTTCTCGGTTGACATTGTTTGAATTATTTATTCAAGTTAATATGAACAAAATAAACCCATCGAAACGATTAAATTAATAAAAATATTCATAAACTTTATACTTTATCTAAAAAAATATCATAGTTAGTTTTGGATAAAATGTTTATACTATATTTTAAAAATATTAATTTTTAATAGTATTTTAATAGGATTTTATTAATATATATATATTTTTAAATTAAAAAATACTTGTATTTTATTATTATATTTAAAAATATACATGAAAATTTTAAATAATGAAAATTCAATTTTTTTATCATGGACGAAAACTATCCATTAACCCGTTATAGTTTATCTCTAAATTTTTTAATATTATTTTTTTGAAATGTAGGAATATTTTTAAATATTTTTTTAAAAAAATTTAAAGTATTTTTAAGAAATTTTAAAAAATTGAAAAAAAAAAGATTATTTTTGAAATATTTTTTAAGTTGAACCATAATTTTAGCACCCAATATTAACCAATTCATTTAAAAATATTTTTTAATTTTTTTAAAATTATAAATATTGTTTGAGATTTTTTTTTATTTATTAATTTAAGTGGACAGAATCTCAGTATAAATCATATTTTATATAGTAAGATAATGGAGTGATTTATTTGTTGATTTGGTAACAAATGTTTGTTACTAAATCTATAATTTAGAATGTAATCTTCATTATATACTATAAATACATGAGGTCGTGACCGACATAGGTGACAGTCATTCAACTCAACATCAACAAATTTTTCTAGAAAGAGATCGAAGTTTCTAAAACTTTCCAAAATGACAGATGGAAAAAGTGGAGCAAATGTCTGTAAATATGCCCAAAATTTCCGAGGAAGGAGATGGGAGAATTACTCTGGTTCTGATTCAAACATCACTCCCTTGGAGGAAATGTCTGCTTATTGGTGGAAGACCTTCGCTGGGGATGAAGATCGACCGGAGAAGCCTCGGCGATGTGGAGTTACAGAGATGAGAAGTCCCCATTACACTCTCTCTAGCCAAAATGTGATTCAGGTTCGTACGTTATATATCTTGTTCTTTGATTCTACG